CCTTGGCTCCAGAGACTCATCCCCCCTCTCTGCCCCCTCCTGGCAGGGAGTTGCCGAGGGCCAGGAGGTCTCCCCTCAGCATCCTCTGCTCCAGACTGAACCCCCCCAGTTCCCCCAGCCGCTCCCCAGCAGACCTGTGCTCCAAAAGCTTCATCCCACCATCCCTGGCCACCCCCATGGCAGCTCCTGGAGCGCTCTGCACCTTCTGCACCCCAGCTACGGGCTCAAACAACACACAAAGTCACTTATCTTCCCCCAAATCCCTCGCGTTGTCCTGAGGGGGAGGGAGAAGGAGCCCCCCAGGGGGGCGAGGAGCAGGATGGATCCTGGTGGCAGCAGAGGAGCGGTGGGCTCAGCAGGTCCAGGGGATGAGGTTATGGGGGTGGGCAGGGTTTGCAGATCACAGCCCCCATCCCTTTTATTTCCAAAGCCGCTCATCAGTCCTGCACCGGCACCGCATCATGGCAAGACCCAGAAGCCCGAGCCCACCCCTCCTGGTCTGCAGAACTCCAGAAGAGCAGGGCACAGAGAGGACCCAGACCACCACGACGTGCCTGGACGCCTGAGAGCTCCTCCAGCTCCTTCAGGACGGTCTCGGTGTCCCTGACGAGGACAGTGGCCATGCCCATGTCCCGGGCCGGCTTCAAATTCTCCCCGACGTCATCCAGGATGATGACCTGGAGATACACCAGCGAGAGTCGGGCTCAGCACCCCAGGGAAGGGCGGCCGTTGGGTTTGGCCAAGGAGTTTGGGTGCTCGGAGGGACCCCTCTGTGCCCTGTTTTGGGGGTGATGGTCGTACCTCCTGTGGCTTCGCCTGCAGCGCATCCAGGGTGTAGGTGTAGATGTGGGGATCGGGCTTCTGCACTCCGAGCCGGCAGGATTCGATCACCAGGTCGAAGTGGCGGCGCAGCAGGTTCATCAGCGTGGCCGTGAAGAGCCGCCCAGCGCTGTCATCCACCCAGTTGTTGGCGAGGACGCAGGTCTTAAATCCTAAAGAAGGGCAGAGTGGGGAGTGCTGCTTTTCCCACTCTGGCTCTCCGGAGAGTGTTTGATTTCACCTCTCCCCCTCAGCCATGTTTCTCAGACTTTTTATCCTAAAATCTCCAATTCATGAGGCTCTGTCTGGGCCAGGACACCCCAGCAGGAGATAAAAGGATTCTCAGCAGGAGCTTAAGGCCCAATTTGTACTTCCAGGAAAGCAAAGCTCAACCCTCCCAAGGCAAGAGGGGTGTGAGCTGGAGCTCAGGCACACCAAGATGCTGAGGACTGAGCCGATGGACTGACTGTGGCTGGGTGACACCACGTCTGATGGATTTGGGCTTGAAACATCTAATTAGAGATGCTGAGAGAGTGTTTTGATGAGGAGGAGGGACTGAGCAGGGACTCTGTGGTGGGATCGAGCAGGGACACCAAGCAGGGACCCCTGTGGTGCCTTGTCGGGAGGGAAGCAGCACCCTGACTCCAGCCCCTCTTGCCCAAAATCCACCCCCCAGCACCCACCGTTCCTCCGCAGCACCCTGGCTGCCTGCAGAAGGGGGGCGTTCACCGTCCCCTTGGCCGCCATCTCCCCGAAGGCTCGAGCGACGGAGAAAGCGGGTGGCAGGGTGATGCCCGAGGCGGAGGCGTGCTGCCTGCAGCCCTCTTCCATCTCCGAAAAGAGCTGGAAAACACCCCAGCAGTCACTCAACTGACCCCCAAAAATCCCCAAAGCAGGGCCCTGCCTGGACTCTGCTCCCCTCAGCTCCTTCCCAAGCCGCATCCGAGCTGCCGGCGATGCTCCGCGGCTGGTACCCGGGGGCTCACCTGGGACAGGGTGATGTGTCCCCTCATCGCTCTGGCATAAGGACTGTCGGAGCCACCGGCAAACATGACCTTTTGCAAGAAATTCCTGCCAGGCAAAGGAGCAGAAAGTCAGCTGGGGCAGGGACCCTAACAGCGGGGGGGGTGTTGGGGTGCGCTACAGGGAGGGGGATGCTCCGTGCTGGGGACGCAGAGCTCCATCCTCCACCATCACCCAGGGCTGGAGCATCACTTTATTGCAGGACTGGGAGATCGCTGCCCATTTATTTCCGCTGGCAGCTCAATTACTTCGCCCTGCAGATAGACGAGCAGGGAGTTTGGCCAGGAATAAAAAAAAAAAAATAATGCAAAAAAGCGAGGTATTTTGTAAGCCGTAGCTCAGGGAAAATAATTCGCCCCTATCACAAGACCACAAAAGGCCTTCTCGGGCGGCAATAAAACAAGATTACAGCGACTGGCTTTAGGACAAAGCTCTCCTCCGAGTCGATAAAAATGCAGCTCGGTTAAAAATAAAGCGGCTTTATGTGCTCCAGCAAGATTGCTGTCGCTTTTTTTTTTTTACTATAAAGCGAAGCAAAAATATGTTTGATGGCCTGATAATCTGGGAATTTATTGTTCCATCTGCTCCGTGTCCTCCAGCATTTAGCTGTTTAATTTTTTTTTTTTAACTCTTTTTTTTTTTTTTTTTTAACACCCACGCACTGCCAGGAAATCCCGACGCGTTGGGCGATGCAAAGAGAGAGAACCTGTTCAGCTCCTGTTTGGGAGCTTTTGGGATTAGTAATTCCCAAATATCCTGTATTAAATGGGGCAAAGGGCTCACTAGGACTCGAGAGGCTGTTTCGGAAGCGCTCAGGGGTCCAACGCTTTGGGTTTTGTCAGCGCCAACTCACGGACTGAGTTGCGCCAGGTCTCAGCACTGGGGCAGGGATGGGCTTAATTCATTATCATGCTTAATTAATCGATAATTGCTCTTCTTGCTGCTTTGGACAACATCCCCTGTGGCGATCCTATCTCTTTGGGGGTTACTTTTAACTGCTGGCCTGCACCCCACATCCAGGACAGGACCCCTCCCCGCGCCTGCACCCCACACCAAGGCAGGATGTCCCCAGCCTGCCCCCCATGTACACACAGGGACCCCAACTTGCACCCCCCGCCCCCCAGGACAGGGGGTCCCCAGCCTGCACACCCCCCCC